GTCTTTGATGAATATATATGCAAAAATCTTCAACAAAATATTAGCAAACTGAATTCAACAGCACATCATAAGGATCATTCACCATGATCAAGTCGGATTTATCTCTGACATGCACGGTGGTTCCACATATCGAATCAATGAGATACACCACATTAATAAAATGAAAGACAAAAGTCGTATGATCACCTCAACAGATGGGAGGAACGATTTAAAAAAATTCAACATCCTTTCATGATAAAAAAAAAAACTTTCAAAAAATTAATATAGAAGGAATGTACCTCAACACAATAATGGCCAAGTATCATAAACCCACAGCTAACATTATACTCAACAGTGAAAAGTGAAAAGCTTTTCCTCTAAGATCAGGAGCAAGATGAAGATGCCCACTCTCACCACTTCTATTCAACATAGTACTGGAAGTCCTAGTCAGAGCAATTAGTCAAGAAAAAGAAATAAAAGGCATCTAAATAGGAAAGCAAGAAATAAAACTATCTCTGTTTGATGAAAAGCAGTAGCGGCCATCACAATTGACCTTGTAGACATAATAAGATAGTAAACAAGTATCATAAATAACAAATCACTAATAAATTTGATAACTTAGATGAAAGGAAACACACAATCTTGGAAACACACAATCTACCAAAACTAAGATATTCTGAATAGGCCTACATCTATTAAAGAAATTGAATCAATAATTAATAACCTTCCAAATCAGGAGGTACCATGCTCAGATAGTTTCACTGGCAAATTCTACTAAACATTTAAGTAAAAAATTACACCGATTCTCTACCACATCTTCTAGTAGACAGAAATATAGACAGTAGACAGAACATTTCTCAACTCATTCTATGAGGCCAGCATCATTCTAATACCAAAACCAAAGACATTACAAGAAAGGAAAACTACAGATAAACATATCTCCCATGAATACACATGTAAAAATCCTTAACAAAAATATTAGCAAATCAAATCCAACAATGAACAGGAATAATTATACAACACAATAAAAAGAGATTTATTCCAGGTATGTAAAGCTGGTTCAATATTCAAAAACATCAATTAGTGTAATCTATTAATATCACATCAATATGGTAAAGAGGAAAAATCATGTGATTATATCAATATATGCAGAAAAAGCATTTGACAAAATCCAACACCAATTCATGATTTTTAAAAAACAACTTTGCAAACTATAAATAGAGATAACTTCAACTTGATAAAGAAAATCTACAAAAATCCTATAGCTAACATCATACTTAATAGTAAAAAACTAAATCCTTTCCTCCTAAGATCAGGAATAATACAAGCATGTCCATTTTCACCACTTTCTTCAACATCATAGTAGATGTCCTAGATAATGCAATAATAGAAAAAAGTAAAATTTACAAGAATATGAGAAGGTAGAAATAGCACTTTGTTCACAGAAGATATGATTGTCTATTTAGAAAATCCCACAGAACACCCAGTATCTCCAGGAACTAATGAGCAATTATAGCAAGCTTACAGGACACAAAAGTCAATTGCAATAGCTCTCCCCATATACCAGCAGTGAACTATTTGAATTTGAAATTAGAAACACAACACCATTTACACTGGCACAAAAATTTCAACATTTAGGTGTAAATCTAAAAAAACTACGTAAAAGATCTATATAAGGAAAAGTACAAAACTCTAACGAAAGAAATCAAATAAGATCTAAATAAATGGAGGGATATCCTATTTTCATAGAATGGAAGACTCAATATTATTAAGATAACTGTTCTTGCCAATTTAATCTATAGATTCAATGTAATCCCAATCAAAATCCCAGCAAGCCAGTTTACAGATACCAACAAATTTTTTCTACAGTTTATACAAAAGGCAACAGACAGAGAGAAGTCAACACAGTGTTGAAGAAGAACAAAGTCGGAGGGGTGACACTGCCAACTTCAACACTTACTACATGCTGCAGTAATCAAGACCGTGTAGCAACAGCAACATAGACAAACAGATTAACAAGCAGAATAAGAGCCCAAGATGACCCATATAAATACGTGCAACTGATCTTCGCAAAGGAGCAAAGGCAACTCAATGAAGTAAGGTTTGCCTTTTCAACAAATGCTGAAACTGGACATCCCCACACAAAAATAAAAAAAGAAGAAGAATCTAGACAAAGAATTTACACCTCTCACAAAAATTAACTCAAAAGTGTTCACATATTTAAATGTAAAACTATAAAACTTCCACAAGATAATAGAGAAGAAAATCTAGGTGACCTTGGGTTTGAAGATGAATTTTTATGTATTACATGAAAGGTACAATTCATGAAAGAAAAACCTGGTAGTTCAACCTCATTCTGCTCTGCAAAAGACACTGTTAAGTGAATGAAAAGATAAGCTGCAGACTGGGAGAAGATCTTTAACAGATACATATCTGATACAGGACTTGTGTCCACTATATAAAAAGAGCTCCTGAATTTCAACAATAAGAAAACAAACAACCCAATTTAAAAATGGGTAAAAGACCTGTATGCCTCACCAAAGAAGATATATAGATGGCAAATAAGCATATGAAAAGATGCTCGACATCATGTATTATTAGAGAATTGCAAATTAAAATAGTGAAATACCACTACACAGCTATTAGAATGGCTAAAATCCAAAACACTGGCAATAGTAAATTCTGGCAAAGACGTGGAGCAACAGGATTTCTCCTCCAGTGCGAGTGGGAATGCAAAATGGTACAGCCCCTTTATAAGACAGTTTGACAACTACTTACAATGCTAAACGCACTTTATTGCCTGATCCAGCAATCATGATCCTTGGTTGAAAACCTACGTCTACACAGAAACCGGCACATAAGTGTTTATACAGTTTTATTTATAATTGCCAAAACTTGGAAATAGCCAAGATGCTCTTCAATAAGTGGACAGATAAACAAATTGTGATACATTCATACAATGGATTATTACTCAACAATAAAAGAACTGAGCTATCAAACTATTGAAAGACATGTAGGAACTTTAAATGCATATTATTAGGTAAAAGAAAGGCTATATGGTTCCAAACATATGACATTCTTGAAAAGGCCATCCCATGGAAATATAAAAAGATGAGTCATTGCCAGAGATTCAGATGGACAGAGAAAGAGATGAATAAGTGAAACATGGGATTTTTAGGGCAGTGAAACTACCCTATGCAATACTTAACTGGTGAATACCTGACATTATACATTTTTCAAAACCCATAGAGTGTACAACACAAAGAGTGACCTCTACATAAACTATGGACTTTAGTTAACAATAATGTATCAAAATTGGTTCATCAATCATAACAAATGTATCACACTAATGCAAAATATTAATAAGAGGGGAAACTGTATAAAGACAAAGTGGGTTAGTGGGAACTCTGTACTTTCTGCTCGATTTTTCTGTAAACCTAAAACTTCTCTAAAAAACAGTCTATTATTAAATGAAGCAACATCAAGATGAAACTGTGGTCTAAAAAAGAATAAAAACAGAGTACAACACAAAGGTAGCTTCTGTCTTACTAGCTCGGCTATAAAATCTCATAGAATTTAGAGAATAGGAAGGGATGAAGAGAATAATTTTAGCCAGAAAAAATGAAAGGAACTTTTAAAAGAAAATGGGAGTAAACAAGTGAAACATGGCAATATTGAGAGAGAACATATCTATACTAATGGAGCTCAAGAACTAAAGTAACTGCCATGGGAAAAAAACACTTAGAAATTTGCAAAAGGGTTTTCTTCACATTGTGTAATATAACCCTGTCCTCTGATTCCCTTAAAACCATGAGTAAAATTTCTACTATACTTGATCTTTTTGAAATTTAGTTTTGTGGTTAGAAGATGTGTTCCACTGGCCTATAATTAGACACAAAGATTTCTGCTTTCATCCATGATGAGGCATCAGGGACCAGAATTACCTTTCTACCTTAAACCACTTAAATACTGGACAAAAATATATGAAACAGTGGTATTCATAAATTGGAAAACAGTAAGTACAATACATAAGGAAAACAAAGGAGAAGGGCCCCATGATGACACCAGTTTAATGCCTGGAATTTCCAGCCCATAGTATAAGGAAGGGCTTATTGGTCTCCTTTGGTTTAGGAGACAAAGTTCGGTGTTAGGGAAACCAAGTCAGCTAGGATTTACAGAGCACAGTATTAGGGAGAAAGCAACCTCACAGATTGAAAGAGAGAAAAAGAGAGAGAGAGAGAGAGAGAGCACCATAGGTGTACAGAGGCTTCCCCTAGATGTATAAAGAGGTTTTCACTATCCACTCCATAGGTCTAGATCCCTTTCTACCCCACCTCGTCAGTCAGAATTCTCATGGATCAGAAATCTCTATGTAACTTGCAAGTACTATAGAGTACGCAGCTGTCCTTGGTTTAAACATGGCAACCCTAGGGTTTAAAGCTGAAGTTGAAAGAGGGCAGAATTACTGGCAATTTGTTCAAATCAAATCTTATTCTACTTCTTAACTATATTCCATAGCATACATTAGACTATTATTTCAAAATTCTCTCCAGTACTAAGACATCAGCAAAAATTTTTTTTTCCTTTCTGTTGACAAAAAGTCAGAAATTTGACATACAAGTTCTAGCAGCTCTATGTATTCATGAACTGACAAGTAAGTTAAATACTTTAACTCTGGTTAAAGTATTAGTATATTCCTGGTAACAAAATCTACAAACCATCTCTTAAACTTATAACGCCCTACCTCAAAGGCCTACCAACATTTCAACAGATGTTCTAATCACAACTCAAAATCCTTCATTCCAAGTACTAGCATGACACTTCTCCAAAATGAGTCTAGTTTTGATAACATGCCACCTTAACTAAGAATTTCAAAACTTCCTTGACAACCAGCTCAATTGTATGGCTCCAAACTCAAGGGAATCTGTGTTGTTGCCCTAATAATTACCACTTTAAATTAGAAATTAATGTACTCAATAGAGGTTATTAAGACAATAATGCTTAAATATGTGGAAACTTACGTGGTTCCATTGCAGAAGCATCTACAGATTCCTCGGTTGAGTGGGTTTTTATGAATTCTGAAATAATTAAAAGTGTATTTGTCATTATGAATTTCAAATAGAAATTATATATAATAATTGAGTTTAAATTTTATAGTTTTTCTTTTAATAACTCATTCAAGAGAAAGGAAACTCTATGAAAAAATAATAGCTGCCAATACTGCAGATCCTCCCAATCAGGCAACAAATGGTAACATCTGAAAGAATGTGAGTAACAGTCGATTATGAACCCATCGTTTTTTCATTAAAACTTGTTTTCACTCTTAATATTCTCTTATATTAGTTGGTGGTACCATAATCATCTGGTCTCCCTTCTTTCATATCCAGTCACCAAGTTTTGCCAATTCTATCAAGTAAATATTTCTCAAATCTGTCCCTGTTCTTCTCTTTTACCAGTGCTCTAATATAGCTACTTATTACACATCTAAGAGATATAATAACTTCCCTTTCCTACTCCTAATCCCCAAATCTAGCTTCTACAATGTGGCCGGAATAATCCCTCTAAAATTAAATCTGACAGTGTCACTCCCCTTTGAAAAATCTTCAATGGATCTCTATTATATTTAGAAAAAGTCCAAGCTCCTTAGCATGGCATCCAATCCCTCTATAACTAGACTCTCTCCTACCTTAGCCCTATCTATCACTTCATACTCTAATACCAACCCAGTTGTACTTCCCTGTTTGTTCATGCTATTATCATCTTTTAAAATGCCAAATATCTTCCTTCTTTACTTGACTAAATCTTGTTCACCCTCTAAGATTGCATAAAATCTTCCTAACTCCCTCAGGTTGAACAGATTGCTCCCTTCTGTGGACCCAATGCAAATTACACATACCTTTATCATGCATTACACTATACTGAAATGCTACATAATGTACTTGTGTCCTTTCTAAGCTGTGAATTTCATGGGGCTAATAACCAAGTTGTGTTTATTTTGTATGTTCCTAGAATTTGGAACATAATAGGAACTTTTATTGAAATATCAAACTCACTACTGAATATTATTCAAATTTACCATTGCATAATTTCATAACTGTAAATTTTAAAACTGTAAGTCCAAATATGTTAAAACACTTAGGAAACCCTATAAAGGCTAAACATGTATAAAATAGAATTACCTTCAATTTTCTGCCGTATGGTTTCATAACCTTCCCCTTCTTTTGATAGATTTTCTTTATCCCTGTTAAAGTTTCAATAAATATGTTTTAATATACCAAAGAATAAGAGTTTAAATTACACTTAAATAAGAACTAGAATGTACAGTCTAGACATATGAAGTCTATAAAACAAAAATTAACATACTCTTTAACCTTTATTCACGGACGCTAAGGTAAGTTAGTAATGAGCAAATAAGTATAAAAGTCAAACTATGTAATTCTATAAATTCCATGTATTCCTTGAATATAATTAGATCTGTCAACAAAATTAACAACAAAAATAACAAAAATGAATTCAATAGAAACATGAGGTTTCTTTTAATCAATATTATTATCAATGGTGTAATGTAAGAGCCCAAGTTCTGGAGTGAGACTACCTGACCCAAATATGTTTCATTTGCTGACTAAATTATATGACTTCAAGTAAGTTAATTAACCTCTCTGAGCTTCAGTTTCTTCATATTAAAATTCGGGAACCTTCCCCATAAAGAAGTTATGAGGATCAAAGGAGATTATACATGTAAAGTTATTAGAAAAATACCTAGCACATAGCAGACACTATGGTCTGAAACTAATTTCATGCCTTATACAAAATAGCTCAAGTAAATATATCTGAATCTCTGAGAGAAGGATCTAGTTATGCAACCCCCATTGGAACCAACTCAAGTATCACTCCCTTCATTCCTTTAAGTCATTGACAGAGATATCAATAAAGTAATTATACGATAAATAGTAGCCCCTTCCAATTATGGGTATAAACTTTCTATTTTAACACCATAAAATTACAAATTTTATGTATATTTAATGCAAAAGCATGGTTGTTTATATGACTGTAAAATTTTTACTTGGATAAGTTGTTCATATAATTTTTAATGAAGGTGTTCATGAACAATTAAATATATAATCAGTTCTTAAATAGTTGCCTATTTATTACTGGGAGTTATCTGATCAAAGTGAAAGAAGAGTTTTTTTAGCCAGATATCTCAATGTTCAATATAACTTTCTAAAAATAGCCACATAGCTACTAAGCACTTGAAATGTGGCTAATATGACTAAGAAACTGATTTTTTTTTATTGAATTGAATTTGAATGGCCACATATGGCTAGTGACTACTGTATTAGACAGTGACATCTCAGACTATTACAAATTTCAAACAGAAACAAGCTCACTAGACCTGATTTGATTTAGAAGCTCTATGTTTAGCCATATTATCTGACTCATTATCTCACATTCAGTGCTAACTATATACCCCCTCTTATTATTCTTAATTCAATTAGTTCTTAAATTTCACTTACATGGGCTTAGACAACACGGCTTTCAAGGAGTATTTAGACCCCTGTTTAAAGCAACTTCTCAGTTCTTCAAGTTTTTGTACACGCCTTACTATTTGTGCAATATGTAAGCTGACGGTTTTGTCAGATGCTGGAAGCTCTGGTTCTAAAAGAGTTTGATCTTTACCTAGCTAAAATAATAAAATTAACCAGTTAGTGGGAAATACCCATTTTTCTCCCATCCCTCAAAGAAATTTTATTATTTCCTTTATTGAATCTGAATAATTTTTACAATATTACTCTTATCTATGGCTATAGTCAAATATTCTGATATATTTTACAAATATACTTGAGCAATTATCTATAAATAGAATTATAGTTCAGTGATGACTTTTATATGTCTAAACTGAAACCCTCTTTTATTATTTTAATATATAGGAATTTTAAGCAAGTCCAATAAATGTAATTCAAAATATTTTACAGTAATTCTAAAATAATTGCTTTCCCTAAATTCTTTCTAAACATACCCTTACTGTGATAAACTGTGGAACAACAGTAATTTTCTCTCAAATACCCTCTACTACTAACTCCCAGAAGTTAATATATAAAGGTCTATGGCCCTGACATCCTCAGTCTGCATGAAAAAAATTGAGACCCACGTGGGTGTTGCAAGACCTTTGGAATAGACCAAACTAAAAAGTAACAGGCAGTGGGAAAAATCAGTAAGATACACAGAATAAGATGAACATTACTAATATTCTAGGTAAATAGGTCTACTCAAAGAAAGTTCAACAAGAATGAGTGTCCAAAAACACAGTGAAAGAAACCTAGAAACAACCAATATATGCAGCCATAAAGAAGGAGAATAGCAATTGGGGTCAAAAAGTTTTGACAGGAAAAACAGCAGAGAATATTTATAAGAGTAATTCTTAAAAATTGCTTCCCCTAAATTCAGATACCCACTCATGTAGACACCTCTAATCCTCATGATAGGAGGAAAAGCTGGAGGGGAAAAAAAGAGATTAAGGCCTTAGCAAAGAGAAATTCAAGCACTGGAGATTGAGAAGAGACTTCATTTCAGTAATGACTATCTGGATTAGGATTAGGATATAACAGCAAGAACTAAATGCTAGACAATGAAGTAGGAGTCGGAGACTGTGTAAGGAAGATAAGGAAAAGGATGCAGAACAGGAAGCAGGAAGGGAAAGGAAGGGAAGCAGGAGACCTATGGAAACTCTATGGCCAAAGGAAAGATCCCAAAGAAGAGGCCACTAATCATAAATTGAGTCTAAAAGGTGATATACCAATCAGGTACATTTATCAATCTATTGTCTCTCATCAAAAAAATATATTTGGTTGTAATAGTGGAATATTTCTTCCTTAACAGGTGGCATGATGTTAACTTTTGTCAACAGAGGTTCCTAGAGAGGCACTGGAGGCAGAAGAAGTTTTTCTTCCTAGTTTTGTCATCTCTCTCTGCTTACTAGTAGGGTAGTGCATAGTATATCTAGCAGCACTCACCCCCAGCAAGTTTCAACAGCACGACCCCTATGGATGGTTTCATGGTGAGGTCCCTGGCATAGCATAATTCCCACGTGCAGCTTCCCCTAGAACTTCTTAGCAAAACCCACCAGGGCAGAACTTCCCTTTGGGAGGATTTACAGCATATCACCCTTGTAGACAGCTTTCTAGCAAGAGATACAGTAACTCTCTACAAGATGGTTTTTCAGAGAACCACAGAGAGTGGTCTCCTAGTGCACCACCCTCATGGGCAGCATCCCAGTGAGTTCAAGTTCCCCTAGCATGGCACCCCTGCAAACTTTGTCATCTAGTGATGACAACTGCTCCCTCTTCAGAAGGTCTGGATCTTAGCCCTGGGTTGGGGGGACGGGAGGCTTGAGGGTATTCATATTTTTTCCTTCCCTGAGAACTTTACTTACATCCATCTTAGGAGTAGAGGCTATTCCCTGTGTCTTCTAATCCTGTATTTGTTAGGGTTTTCTGTGCCCCTTTAGTAGACATAGCCCTCTGCTATAATAATTCTTTACATTAAACTTTTCCTAATCAAATTACTCTGTGGTTTTTGTCTCTTGATTAGACTCTAACTGATACATTATATTTCCCAATAGGGATTAAATCTGAATGGAAATCTTTTCTGGGAGAAAAGAGGAAGGTATGGAACTAAAGCAGTATGGAACAGACAGTGGGATTATCAGCTAAATAATTTCATCAGAGACTTATGTGGAGACAAATTCCAACAGGACAACTCTGAAGAACACAGGTTACAGGCTCATCCTACATTTCTCTGGTGCAGCTCACCATATACTCTGATGGCTTCAACATGTATCTCTGTTAACACAACGTGACCACAGGCATTAACCTCACCAGCATGTACTGACAATAAAACCTGTCAGCAGTAAAAGGAATATCATTCCAAGATTCTCAAATGTTAGTGTGCATAAGAATCTCTTAAGGAAGCCTTTTAAATCAACAGATTTCTAACCCACAAACACACATAAAAAAATTGTAATTCCGTAATGTGCATTTATAACACATATCTTGGGTGACATTTAAACATGTTCCATCAACTACACTCCTTGAAGAAACACTCCTTGAAAGGAAGAAGATAATACAAACACTTAAGCCTGATACACCAAATACACCCGATACACCAAATTAAGAAACTATCCAAGAGAATTAATTATGGGTTTAAACATTGAAAAACTTGTAATTCCAGATTGGAAGTATAGTTGTGTAGTAAGCATTCCTCCTGGGGATTATGAAGGCATAAACTGGGATTTCAGGCATACTGTAGACAATGGCAACCGGCACTAAATGTGTAAACAATAGATACAGAGAAAAGTGGACATATTTGACAGCTATTTAGGAGGTAAAATCAAAAGGATTCATGGATGGATTAAATATTAGGAATAGGTAGAAGTGAGTTGTCAAGGATGGTTACCACATTTCTGGTTTACCCAATTTGATAAATAGTACTACCATTCACTGAAATAGGGAACACTAAAAGAGGTATGAGTTTAGGGTTAAAAAAATTCTTAGTTTTGACCCATTGCATTTGAAGTGGAATAGTCTCATAGTAATCGTATACAAGCCTTGAGTTCCAGAAAATTGTTTTGAGCAAAAGGTGTATGTTTTTAAATTACCAGCATAAAGATAATACTTCAATGGAAAAACTAGACAAGATTGACTAGGGAGAAAGTTTGGAGTAAAAAGAGAAAAAAGGAGTGCATAGGATAAAATCTTTTTTTTTTTAATTTCAGCATATTATAGGGGTACAGATGTTTAGGTTACGTATGTTGCCCTTGCCCCCCTTCCCCCCTAAGTCCGAGTTTCAACTATGTCCATCCTTCGGG